TGCTCTCAATCCAGTGTATGCAGTTCCAAGTAGAAAAACACTTTCTCAAAAAATCATCCCAGGCCTATATGATAGAGAACGTGCTTTACTCCAAGAAAGGGTAAACAATTCCACAGCTGTTTGTTTAACAACTGACTGCTGGACATCTCGAACCACTACATCATATATGTCAGTCACATGCCATTTTGTTGAAAATTACAAAATGGTGTCATGTCTGCTGGATTGTTTTGAGTTCAGTGCCAGACACACTTCTGAGAACTTAGCAGAAGAGCTGCTCAAAGTGGCAAAAGAGTGGGGTGTGGAAAACAAAGTGGTTTGCTGTGTTAGTGACAATGCAGCTAAAAGTTAAGTTAAAGTTAAAGTTCCATTAGTTGTCACACACACTGATGTGTGTGCGAAATTTGTTCTCCGCATTTGACCCATCCCCTGGGGGAGCGGTGAGCTGCAGACACAGCCGCGCTCGGGAACTATTTGGTGGTTTAACCCCCCAATCCAACCCCTTAATGCTGAGTGTCAAGCAGGGAGGCATTGGGTCCCATTTTTTCAAAGTCTTTGGTATGACCCGACCAAGAATCGAACCCTGATCTCCCAGTCTCAGGGCGGACACGCTACCACTAGGCCACTAATATAACTAAAGCAATTCAAATCCTGAAATGGACCCACCACCCGTGCCTGGCACACACTATCAACCTGTTCGTGAGAGGTGCTCTGAAGGTGATGAAGCCGACTGTGGACAAAGTAAAGGCAATAGTGGAATTCTTCCACAGGAGTACCACAGCCAGAGAGAAGCTCAAGTCAACTCAACGGCAGATGGGCATGCCTGAGCTGAAACTCAAACAAGACTGTGTTACTCGGTGGAACTCCACCTTTTACATGCTGAAACGGATCCTGGAGTCCAAGGATGCAGTGATCTCAACCCTGGCTGTCATCAATGCACCTGTCAATCAACTGAGCCAAGAGGAATGGGACGTACTGCAGGAAGCATGCACTATTCTGGAGCTATTTGAGCAGGTCACTGTGGAGATCAGTGCAGACAGGTACAGTGTATAAATATTATCACATTATTTTTATAGCCTTCTTTTGCACTTATTTTTGTAACTCCTTAAGTTGAGATTTCTTAAAGTGTTCAGTTAATAAATCCATATAAATGATAAATATTTGATATATTGCATTTTTTTACATTATTAAATCATTTTACATATAGTTTTGCATTATTTTTGGTGATAAATATACTTTATGCAACAGAAAATCTAAGGAGCCACTTGGGAGCCGAAAGAGCCGGCTCTTTTTGGTGAGCTGAGCCAAAAGAACCGGCTCTCTAAAAAGAGCCGGAATTCCCATCACTATGTGGTAGGCTAAATCCATTTTACAGTATTTACACTGGACTACGTTTTCCGCCTTACGACGTGAAAAATGGCCCCACACCTTTGACATTTCCAGTCTTTTTCGCACTCCGCCGGGGTCCACGTTGTCCGCCATGGCTTAAGAGAAAGTTAAGCTACATTTGCTACTCGCGTGTGCATTCAGTGCAGTGTGTATGTGCGTCACTTATTTTAGTCCAGGTGAAACATGACCCCGGGCGATTGCAAAGCCATGAATTCATTAAATATGAATTAAACGAATCCTCGAGGCAGAGAATTTGACTCGAGGCTTTTTTGTACTTGAATTATTCGAGGTACTCGAGGAATCGTTTCAGCCCTAATTTATACATACCTAAATATGTGTTTTAGCATTAGCTTGAAGGAGATCTGTGGTCTGAAAACAGGAAGTAGCTGGTAACCAAAGTAGTTTAAACACAGCTTTTAAAAGTACAATGATTCCCATGAAATTAGTAGCTTTAGCTGCAGCAGCATTCCTCCTATGTGCTGAAGCTAAGCCGACAGTGGATTACCTCTCATGTCATTACTTAGGGATGCTCTTGGAAATCGTTATGATGTTGTCATGCTTTGAAATGTTGTTGCTGCTTTTTTTTTCCCCAGCAAATGGGAATTAAAGTGTGAATAAGCTATTTTGGTGCAAGCTGAGCAATGTAGGACACCTCAGAATCAGCAAGGATAAAAGTGAGAAATAAATAACCTCTCCTTTTTTATTTCTATGTGTGAGTGTGTGCACACTCATTTGGAGGCGTTTGAATGTACACATGTATGCAAGAGCGGGAGGACGTTTTTGGGCAAACACGGAGTAACAAAAAGACCGAGAGAGGAGGGGAGGAAAATAAAGCAAGATCACAATTATATGTGATTCTCTGGCTGAAACGCGTTTGGGCAGGCTGGCAGAAAGCAGAGGCTGAGAGGTAGAAAGAGCTGGGCAGTACGGCTGGAAGCGAATGAGGCAGAGCGTTTGGTGATGCAATGGGTAGTGACAAATATGCCTGTGTGCTGCAGCAAAAGGTGACTGAAGAGGTGTTTGGAGATTAGAGAACAACCTGTAAATGTGAGCGTGGAGATAAAAAAAAAAGGCTGGTAACACCGACATGCCAATCACCCACACATCCCAGCACTTGAACCCAATTAGGCTCCAGGCAGCGCAGTTTGTTTTCCCCTCTCAGCCTCCTGCCAATCTCCGTCAGACCTCTGACCCCCAAGCAGAAAGCGAGCATCATCAGCAAGGCCGCTAGACTGGCGTGGCAAGATGCCGCAGAATACCAATGTGCCTGAAATGTTTACCGCCGCAGTTCATCCACCACTTCTTCCCAGAGACCACATGTGGAGCTCTGCTCTCTGCGCTCAGTGACAACTCCATATCTGCGTAATTTAATTTTAGAAGCTTCACGCGTATAATAAGGCAACTTCAGATTGTCATCTACGGCAACAAATCTGGATAATGAGCGAGAGCAAGCACATGTGCCATTCGTCGGTGCACTCTTCCGATTATGGAAAATTGTTAAATGAGCGATGTTGACTGATCCTTTTTGAACCATCACCATCAAAGGCGACCGGGTAAAATATCATAATCCACTTGAAATTAATCTGAAGCCAATTCCTGTGTGAGCAGCCACTGCCCTCTTGTCTAAAAAACCCTCAGTACCCTCCACGAACACCTCAGGAGACCTGTCTGCTTTACCTCTTCGCTTACTGTTTCTCCACAAATCTGATGAGATGATTTACAGTGCTCCTCAATGTGCAATTCCACCTTTTCTGTCCTGTGTGTTTGAATTATTCAAGGGGAGGGTGTTGTCAGAAGCAGTCACGCTCACATTTTGCTGGAGTGGTTTGTTTTCCATGAGGCTGGCTGTGTCTGAGTAGACTTCACTGCCTTTATTGATAACAGACTCCAGGAGGGAACGACGAGGCACCAGAATTCAGACGGTGCTGTAGATGGTGTGGATGGACCACATATCCACCCGTGGTGAAAAAAGCAGCACATTTATTGGAAGCAATTGTTATATTTCAACTGACACATATTTAAAGGTGCATGTCCACACCTAGATGATGGTAGACATAAGATTCATACAAAAGGTTGAGGAGCTTCTTAAAGAACACAAAGAACACTGTGAGGATCATGAATATCTTAGCCAATAACATCACAAAAAAAATTGCATCCTTCTAAAATCTAGAGAAGTCTGATTTATGAGGATTGAAACCGATTTCAGATACCTTTATAGTCTTCATCGATCTGTCTTAAAGATTCATAATTAGTAATCTTTTTTTTTTCATTTGCTGATCACAATGAATTGAATTAGGGTTCTATAAAAAAAACTTCCATATGAGAGCTGTTATTACTTAGGTTAGGTTCATGGATTAATTAAAATGCAGGGTATTTTAAGCGCATGTGGGCAACGATGTATTTGTAGACCAAAATAAATTAAACAAAAACTAAAAAAATCTAAGGATGCATCTATTTGGATTTTAAGGGATGACACCAATTTCTTGTTTTTGAAGTGCTCTAACTCTTCGTCGTTGGTTATGACAGATTCTGATTTATCCTAAAGAACTGTAATCATGCGTGCAAATTTAGTTCTGAAAAGTCCAAATAACTTCCAAATATCAAGGAAATAAAAACTTCTGCATCCACCAACATTAGCATGAATTAGCTCTTAGCTAATATATACATACATGTGTGTGTGTGTGTGTGTGTGTGTGTGTGTGTGTGTGTGTGTGTGTGTGTGTGTGTGTGTGTGTGTGTGTGTGTGTGTGTTTGGCAAATGGCAATGATGCGTTCACTGCCCAAAAGAATAAATCTCGAGGCCAATTTCAATCAAAAGCTGTTTTTTTTCAGTGTATTTCAACAAACATCGTGCAGCTTCATCCCACAACAACTTTATTATTAAGAACTGCTTTCAGGTCAAACCTACAGCAGGTTAAAGTAAGTCAATCGCATGCACTGTAGAGTAATCGAGTGCATAACCTTTTTCTGAATGTCTCTATGGATTTTGGCAAAGCTATTAAATATTTGATGAACCACTTAAGTGTGATATTACTGCGTGAAGGGAATGAAAAAGTACAACAACACCTTTTTTGATGCCTGTTTTTTTTCTTCCTTTTTTCTTTGTTTACTAGGTAGGAAATTCCTGCACTTTTTGTCCAAACAACTGCTCTGACTGGTCTGTAAAACAGAAATCCTTCCTATAACAGCTAAGATTAATTTCCATTCCAGCAGTATATATATATATATATATATATATATATATATATATATATATATATATATATATATATATATATATATATATATATATATATATATATATATATATATAAAATCTTTTTGGTCTAGTAGTCGCAGGTGGAAAGTGTGTGAGTTCTTTATGAACAGCATCCTCCATCTCCTCCATAACAGAAGACACAATGCACTGCGACATTATGTCACTTCATTATTTTCATCACATAAAGGTGAGAGAGAAAAAAAGCCAAATTGCGCGTAAAAGCTGCCTACTTTCAAAAGAATAAACCACTAACCACGTGTGTAAATGTTCCAACCCTAATGAGGACAAGGTGCGCCAACTCGAACCGAAAAGGAGAAATCAAATAAAAGCGGTAAACGATGAAATACTTTCCTACCTTTTAGTTCTTGAAAGTCCAGATTTTGTCACGAGAAAGCAAAGACTCGCTCGTTCCAGCCGGTGCATCACAACGGCAGGGATGCTGGCGGTCTCGTCCACGGGAAATAAAAATAGATATTTCTCAGACTTTAACATTGAAACAAACCCGTTCTGGGCGGACTAGTCGCGCGCTCCTGAAGTGCAAACATTAAAACGACGCCGCGTAATTTCTCTCCTCTAGGAATAAGACGAACTCGCTGTCTCACTGGATTTCTGCCGCCTTACTAAACTTGCAACCCCCTGTGTAAAGAATAGAGGATGACTGCTGGTGCGTGAAGGTTTCCGAGACGCGGATGGAGATAAGCGCGCGCGGGGAGAGGAAAGCGCACGCGGGCGGCTTCCGCCCGGTCCGACTGTATACTTTGGTTTAGTCAGCAGCGTCACAGCCAAAATCTGCAGCTCTCCTTCATATAGAGAATTAGTTCCTGCCTGATTTAAATCAATTATCAGCCTCCGGAGGTACCTTGTGGCAAAGCAACAAACTACAGAGATGGTGTGAAATGATGAATTCTGAATCAATGCAAGTTTATTGAAATGACAGGTCAGGTGACGGAGCTAGAGTGTCATCCATCAGGCAAAAGAGCTTCAGGGCAGATAGACAGAAATCTGAGACAAAAGAACACAGAATAAGGCAGGGGTATTTTTGATTAGTGCTATGGAATTCAATGAGTTGTTTTAATTAGAAGGAAAGGACAACATGACTGTAAAGGAAACATTCAGGACACTGGAAAGAAATGCTTAATACGTTTCACCCCAAAAGACAGTTTCTGATGTATCTGGTATGGTTTAGATGCCCACTGACAAACAGAGAAAAGCAGGAAAGAAAACCATTTTCAGAGGAGACAAATTAAATGATTAGCTAAAAATCAGCTAATGCGTATCAGATGTAGCCTTTGAATTGTGGTTGAATACAAAATACCATTCATTTGATAATTTGATATTTCAGGTAGCACTGCAATTAGGTGTTGCCTGTCAATTGCCTCACCCTTCTCAGGCTTAAAGGAGAAATAGGCAGTTTTGGCTTGCTTTTAGCACCACCTAGTGTCCGTTTAGTAGAACCAAAAGGAACATTTCTATGCGCTTTGTTAATCTGAAAGCTGAAACGTAACCCCCAGGCTTCTTTAGTGTCTACAGGTGTGGTTCATCACAAAATTAAACTACATCACCAGAAATAAAATGGTCCAATAAGCCAGACCGGCACTCTGACAATGCAAATGCAGTATTCTGGCCACAGAGGGTGGTAGGGGACTGAGTAAAATTTAATTAACCCTGTAAAGATGGAGATTTGTGGGATGCACATCCAGGGCACAAAGCTCCCATTCCACCACATTCCAAGATGCTCTATCGGGTTGAGATCTGGTGACTGTGAGAGCCGTTGTGGTACAGTGAACTTGGTGGCATGTTCAAGAAACCAATTTGAAATAAGTGTCCTCAGAAATGTAGCTAGGTTCATCACTAGGTGTTAGGAACAGCGACAAAGTGGCACTGCCTCTCTCTCTGCTGCTAAAGCTACGGATAGCAAATGCTACGGGCGATGCCTGAGCGTGAACGCGCATGAAGCAGCCTGCTCGACCCGAGCAGCTCTCTTTTTCTGTGATTTTACAGAAAAACAGGCAATCACAGTAAAAATGCCAGGGCTCATTCTACAGGACCAGGGCATTGCAGGAGAATGTATGAAGAAGACATTTATTATTTCTATACATGTTTTGGCTGTCAAACTTCCATAATGTCCTTCAATGATTATGATTGCAGATTGGGACACCTGAATCAAAACGTGTAAACAACACAACTCGGCGAATTTAAAAACACAAAAAGATGAATGTCTTTAAAAACATCTTCTCTAATTAACAAATACTTAGTCACAAGGACTTACCATGAACTACATGAGCCTCACCAACTGTCTGTTGCTGCGGGAGTCCAGGCTTTCTTTGGAGAGTCCGGGTCGCTTCCTCTCGTCTCTTTCGTATTTCGAGGTCATTTACAAAGGAAACTCCAATAAAACTATTTATCCAGCCTCCTACGGGCCGAACCACACAGCAATAATTATCCATCTGCTTCGCTAAATCCTCCTCCAAACATGAAAAAAACCAAATTATAGGCAAAGTGCATTGTTTCTTGACATACACTACCATGATGCAATACAAGAATCATAAACACTGACATCACAAAAGATCCTCCTATAAGCTGTGCTATAAACAATGAAAATCAATTGCAATGCAAACTCTGAATACCTCTTCACTTTGAAAAAATCCCAGGTAAATGTGACACACAGCCAATTATTTAAATATTAAATACAAAATAGATTAGTGATGAGGAGCCCTTATCAAGTTTTAAAAACCCTCTGCACGGGGTCTGTTTGTGACTTTTACATCAGTGTCAATCAAACCTGATCAAACCCAGTTCTGATGATGAAAACATCTGAATTCAGCAATAATACAGGATGGCAAGCTGTGACGGGACTGCTGTTACCAGGAGTTCAATGAGCTACTGGACCACATGCAACTGCCCCGTTTCAACCCATGCATATGTAAAGAATACTTAAATATCAGCAAGCACACAAACATGATTTTGGCATCAGCTGTGCAACCATTGTAAGAGTTAATTTTCATCTAATTAATGGACCATAAGGCATAAGACGTCGTCGTCGTCTTCCTCCGCTTATCTGGGTCCGGGTCGTGGGGCAGCATCCCAACTAGGGAGCTCCAGACCGTCCTCTCCCCGGCCACCTCCACCAGCTCCTCCGGCAGGACCCCAAGGCGTTCCCGGACCAGATTGGAGATGTAACCTCTCCAACGTGTCCTGGGGACTCCTGCCGGCAGGACATGCCCGAAACACCTCCCCAGGGAGGCGTCCAGGAGGCATCCTGACCAGATGCCCAAACCACCTCAACTGACTCCTTTCGATGGGGAGGAGCAGCGGTTCTACTCCGAGTCCCTCCCAAATGTCCAAGCTCCTCACCCTATCTCTAAGGCTGAGCCCGGCCACCCTACGGAGGAAAGTCATGTCGGCCGCTTGTATCCGCGATCTCGTTCTTTAGGTCATTACCCAAAGCTCATGACCATAGGTGAGGATTGGGACGTAGATTGACCGGTAAATCGAGAGCCTGGCTTTCTGGCTCAGCTCCCTCTTCACCACGACAGATTGACTCAGCGTCCGCATCACTGCAGACACTGAACCAATCCGCCTGTCGATCTCCCGATCCCTCCTACCCTCACTCGTGAACAAGACCCCGAGATACTTAAACTCCTCTACTTGAGGTGGGACCTCTCTCCCGACCCGGAGTGGGCAAGCCACCCTTTTCCGGTCGAGAGCCATGGTCTCAGATTTATAAGGCATAAGATTCCATACTAAACATGAAATCAACCTTGGGGACCTTTGGGTTATTTTAACCAGAAGATTGGAACTTTTTATTGCAGGGATTATGTAACACTTGTATTAACTGAGAGACAAGAGAAGAGAGAGTCACCTTTAAAACGTTTATTTCTAAACACATTTAAGCAAGACTAACTCTAAACTCTAAATGATGAATGGATCTAGTGTGAATGAGACATGAGATGAATGGTGTATGTGTCAGTGATGTTGTAATCAGAGCTCTCGTATCCGGAGAAGCAAGTCTAAATGATGTTGTGATGTTTTGCTTTTAGCTATGATTGGAGTTTCGTAAACACATGAGACGCCATATTTGTCGCTCTACACATACCCTTCAGATGAGACCTCCGTACAGATCCAGACTGCCAGGTCCTTGAACCCCCCTTTCGGTATCGGAGCCGATGAAACAACATCAGCAGTACGACAGAGGAGTCTTTGGATTGTCTCCAGGTATGTGTGTGTGTGTGTGTGTGTGTGTGTGTGTGTGTGTGTGTGTGTGTGTGTGTGTGTGTGTGTGTGTGTGTGTGTGTGTGTGTGATGTGTTTGGGGGAGGGTACATTGGAACTTTGTCCCCCCTGTTTGAAAATCCTATCTGCGGCCCTGGTTTTACCAAGGGGATTTTCTGTATTGACATTTCATGTTCAGTGCCCTATTTTATGCATTTGACATTTAGACCTGATGACTTTAGAGAAATCCAAAAAGGAGGTCAAGAAATAGCTAAAAAGCATTGCAGGGTCAGAAACAGTTTCTATCATCATAGAGGGATAGACAACACGGATGAGAAGGGAGGGCAGGCACGGTGGGAGGCGACTCTGACAGGCCGTGTAATAGTCCGAGTGTTCAGAAGCATTGATCATACCTTCATGTCAACAATTTCACCTTGCACTCCATTTCTTTTTTTAGCTCTGCTATCCATTGCCGTCTTCTGTATCGGTGCAATCATTCCTGACTAAAAGGTTAAGATTCAGCGATCAGTCGCACTCAGGACTTCATCAGACACCTGTCAATCACAGATATGATACACAGCCTTTCTTCCCGCTTTCCTTACATTTTACACTCAAAATATTGGCTACTGAAAAGCTGACATTGTGAAGTTTGGTCGTGTTCTCTTCTGCTTTTCAGAGCTCATTCGGCTCATCCCTGCAGGCACGTCTCGCAATGCAGAGGAGCTGTAAGATCCAATTTGTTTGTTTGGAGATAACTCCAATTCCTTTTGCCACAGAACATTAGGGCTGCAAATTAATATCCCCGAGCTCCATGGCTCACAGGTCCGTTTAGAGGCAGGAGCCCGACTCTGTGGCGAAATAGCAACAGCATGGGGAGAATTCTTCCAAAACCGAGGTACATTGTCTTTATAAATCCTTTCTCTCCCATCCCCACCTTTTCTTTATTTCTAGCTTTCTCCTCATGGCTTCATTTGTCACCTTTACAGACCTTTTCACAAATGAGAGCAGAGGGCTCATTGACGACACAGCGCTCAATTCCAACCTCTACCTCTCTGTCTCTTCCAGCAGTCACTCACTGGGAGGAAGAGAAAGGATTACAAATGAGAAGCAGCGTTTCTGAGAGACAAAGCCTTCTACACAAACGTGAGATATTGATGCGTACAGATTCTGAAACTAACTAGTGTGTACTGCTCAGATGATTTAGATTTGCTGAAATAACTTTTACTTCAATTATATTTCCCATTGTCTTCAAGTTGAAGAAAATGTATTTGTTTGAAGGGGACACAATATGCAAAACTCACCTCTCAGATGCTGCTGAAGGAGCAGCAGCTCTGCTCTAAGCCCCTCTTTGATATCGGAGCTTCTCAGCCTATAGCAGATCAATCAGGGGAGGGGTGGCGACAGAGCCCTGAAAAGTCATAATATGTGACCTTTATCATATTAATTATACATTTGCTGAGTCATTAGTTGATTTCTTTAGCTCAGAAATAAAACTGTGATGTTTTAACAATTTTTAAACTTGAAAACATCTTTGTAGAAGGAAAACCCTGACAAATGGAAAGGCAACGTTTCACATTCTGCCTCAGTTAATTGCTGCAGAAAACAATCTCTGGTCCCATAGTGAGCCCTGTTCATTCCTCGTGAGAGTTGATGAGC